CTGTAAACACAGCCAAATACACATGGCTGGAGAGGCCATATATCCCAGAGAACACCCTACCTCTATATATCCCTACACAATTATAATTTATTAGAGTATGCTAAATCTGGATCTTTACATTTGCAGACAAGAATACCATACACCACTATACTAGATACTTTAGTTCTTGTGATGAAACACTGTGACCAAGGGAACTTATAGAGGAAGAATTAATTTGAGCTTATGGTTCCAGAGGAATCAGAGTCCATCGTGGTGCAGAGGGATGGTGGCAGGGCGTGGCCAGAACAGACAGAGGAATGCTCACACTTCAAGCAGGCATAGGAAGTAGAAAGTGACTAGAAATCCTGCAAGACTTAAGAACTCCCAAAGCCTACCCCTACTGGCATGCTTCCTCCAGCACGGCCACACCACCTAATGCCTTACAAAACTGCACCACCAACTGGAGACAAAATGCCCAAATACTTAGCACCTATGGAGCACATTCTCATTCAAACCTCAACAACTACTCATCAAAGCAGTTCCTTTTTGCAACAGACTGAGACTGTTGTAGACTTCAAACAGACAGTGTCTGAGAGTTATTCAGTTCTGAGAGAAACATAAACTCTGGAATCGCTTCATCTAAGGCTCACGGAACACAGCAAAACACGGGGTGGAGATAATACTAATGCCTCTCTCAACTCTCACCAGTGTAGTTTTCTCCGGAAACAGAGTACAATGAAAACAGAAGGCCACAACTGGCAAGTGTGGAGAATAAGAGACTACAGAGAGAGCCTGTCCCTGGATAGGACTTCAGTCTTAAACCTCACCCAACATGATTGCGGCCATTTTCACAATAAACTACATTCACGGATACAATTTTAAGGGAGTATCTCTGAAAAGATCTCTAGGATAATTAAAAACATGAGGACATAACACTCACTTGACTGAAATAACTCCTCTTCTCCATAATAACCCCAGAGCCAATTTCATGTCCCTGTTCCTCAGGCTATAGATGAAGGGGTTCAGCATGGGTGTCACCTCTGTATACATTATTGAAGCAATTACATCCTTAACTTGGGAACTATTTGAGGAAGGAATGAAATAAATAACTGCAATAGTCCCATAGTACAAAAACACCAAGAAGAGGTGGGAACCACAGGTGGACAGCACTTTGCAGATCTTCTTAGTGGAGGGGACCTTCAGGACAGTAAAACCAATGCAGATGTAAGAGCCAAAAATAGCACCCAGTGTGAGGAGAGCCAAGATTCCTCCCTCAGTGAAGATGAATACTTTATTGAGGGTGGTATCTGAGCAGGTCAACTTCAGGAGTTCACTGAGGTCACAGAAAAAGTGGCACCCAGCTACCAGTAAATCACACAGCTCCTCTCTCATGATGACCATGTAGTGCAGTGGGTGGCAGATGGCCACATACCTGTCATATGCCATCACTCCAAGAAGAAAATTGTCAACAGATACAAAGAGCAAGAAAAAATATAATTGAGTAATGCACCCCTCAAAAGGCATGGACAGGTGCTGAGTCTGCATGTTGCTGAGCATCTTTGGGATGGTGACAGATGATAAGGAGATGTCGGAGAAGGCCAGGTGGCACAGGAAGAAGTACATGGGGGTGTGGAGGCGAGAGTCCAGCCTGATGAGCAGGATGATGAGCAGGTTCCCCAGCACCGTGGTCAGGTACATGATCAGGAACAGGGTGAAGAAGATGCCCTGCTGCTCTGGCTGGATGGGGAGCCCCAGGAGGATGAACTCAGACACACTGCTCTGGTTCCCCCTCCTCATGGTCCTCTTCCTGCTGGGAATGAAGGAGAAGGAATGTCAGAGTCCCAAGATCCTTACCATGTAGACATAACATGCATGTTTTTTCCATCAGATTACACCAAAATATAGACAAGTTGCACACTTTACAGCCTGAATCCCAGATTGGCTTCACTGAACACAGAGAGAGCATTTCCAATGCTAAAATATTTCCTTCAAGAAAGAATACAAATTTGTTCACTTATTTCACAAATGTTATAAACAGTATTTTCAACACTAGAAATATAACAGATAAAACAATTCTCTCCTGGAGCACACACGCAATAAACATTTAATCAAATATTGAGCAAGAGCCAGGGTTTTGATGAGCAAGAACTATGACGGCCAGGAAGCTACAGAGAGTTCTACCTTAGAAGCTTTCTTCTTCGGTGGCCTTGGCCTGTGTTTGCTGTATGTTCCTAAGTTTTCTTTCTGATAAAGTAATAAAACTATTCTGTAGCTATATCAATTTGGGAGAAATCTTTATTAATGCACGTAATAATCTTAGAGCAGATCTCTACACATGGTCATAGTCAGTCATTTGAGTTCTTCAGCAGATAACCAAGTATCAAAATCAAGGAGATCAGAGACACAGAATGGTGAGATGAACATTGGACGAAGCCTGGTTACTAGCATAAAAAACAAAAAAACATCAACCTCCAGGAATTTCACCATACCTGAGGATTCAGTGAGACAGATCCTGGACCGTGGGGATTAACTCCCTGACAGCAGCAATTACAGTCAAAGCATTATCTCTTCATTAGCTCGCTCTCTCTTTCTCTCATCTCTATCTCTATCTGCCCACATCCACATCTCTTTCTCTCTCCCTGTCTCCTTGCTCTTCTTCCTTCCTTCCATCCTTCCTCTGTTCTCTCCTCACTTCTTCTCTCCCTCTCTGCTAATACAAGGACTCAGTCACAGTAACTGACTTGAGATTTTGCCCCAGGAAATTTCACATACTAGAAAACCAAGAACTTTATCATGTTGTTGGATTTTGAGTCTGGTCAAACTAATTTTAACTACTGGGTTCTAGTCACCAAATTAGTACCTGATGCTGTCATAGTTCCAGGCTCTGTCAGTATGACCAGAGCCCTGCTTGACACCATTCCACTGGTCCTACACCTGCATTCATTTGTTACAAAATCAGGGTGGATGTGATATTGCACGCCTGCAATCCTAGCACTTAATGAAGCCTAGGCAGAAGGATTATGACTTTGAAGCTGGCATTAGCTAAATATTGGGTTCTGGACCAGCCTCAGTAACATAAAATTATTTTACTTCAAAAATGTAATATGAGAGAGATCGAGAGAAAGAGATAGAGAGAGAGAGAGAGAATTCTCATCAAACCCGAAACTATTTCAGTTTTTCAAAGTTACAACACACCACCTTCTTGATGATCTTCTAATATTGATATATAGATCATGCTGTAGTTTACTATATATTCTCATGTTTCAGTGCATTTGAAAGTAGAGTGTGACGCTATGTAACAACAACATGTACAGCATGTCTACATAGTTATCCACCATAGTTCAACATCAAGCCCTTCCTGGACAAACCAGAATTTACACTCACTAAGTTACATAAGACATTAAATTTGTAACACTGATGTGGTTTAATTGCAACAGTCAGAGAACAATTACCAAGCACCTCTAAAGCAGACATTCCAGGGTGGTTTTTTTAATATTCCTAGTGTGAAAACACAGGTATAAAGCTGCATGCTGAAAGTCTCATAGTACTTGGTAGATCCTTATATCCCAAGCATAAAACAGTTCTTTGAAGTATACCTTGGTACCTATCCAGTGAGGGTTAAATCACAATTGCACATCACATACAGAAGCCCAGGAAACTGAATGCAGGGAATGGCCATCACTCCAAGACCCATGTACCTGGTGAGGAGCCTCTTTAAGTTCAGTCAAAGGAGACACAAGGGGACAGGTGGTCATCTCAGTCAGTGGAAAAGAAGAAGAACATAGTGATTTAACCTCCAATGTGGTCTAATATCCCATTGCATTTACTAACTCAAAATGCTTGCAACTCAAACATGTTTGAAGGAAAATTCAGAAGGTCAATTAAATACTCAAACTTAATAGCTAGATCTGCAAAAAGCTGACCTTGATTCAAACCATTCTCTGTGTGAAAGAGGCAGTTGGACACACTCAAGAACGAGGACTGGAAGCAGCAAGGTTCAACAAATGGTCTTTAAATGAGACTGCATCCTCTGTTCTTGCCAGAATAATCTACCTTGGACAGTTACAAAATGAGTCACCAGAGACTGGAGAGATGGCTCAGCAGCTAAGAGCACTGACTGCTCTTGCAGATGACCTGGGTTTGATTCCCAGAAGCCAAATGGTGGCTAACAACCGTCCTGAACTCCAGTTTCAGGGGACTCCAATGTCCTCTTCTGACCTCCGCGGGCATTGCATAACATAAGTACACTAACACACAGGCAGGCAATACACGCATACACATAAAAAGAAAATAATAAAACATTTTTAAAAGGTAAATAAGTTTGAGTTGACAATCTCTCTCATTGCATGTTTATGACACAACGCATGTGGGGATAAATCCTCAATGTCATCACATTTTACCGATCCACCATCTAAGCTTCAGAGAGTTCAACTTGTCATGAAGCTGTGAAGAATCAAAATTAGAGATTTGAACCAATACCCATGTGGCAGCAGAACATGGGAACTTAGTAACTGCTATTTTCTGAGAATGGAATTTGGCATGGCAAAAGCTTTTTAAAAAGAAAAAGAAAAAGACCCACACACACAGAAACTGGAGGGCACCAAATCCTAAAGGCAAACATCTACCCACTTAGCTGAAGGAGGAACACGCAGGGAACTGCCTGAAATAAGGGAGGATGAGCATTAGTGGAGAAGCTCTGAGTCTGTTTCCTGAATATCCAGACACACACGTGTATTCAAAAATGCTCATATTGCCGTATCATAATTCTAGTTAATTCTCTTCTACACCCTTCACAGATTGAAATGTGTGTATGTTTCATAGACACACTTGCATGAAATCACACATGCGTACAAACAATCATAGATCTCATTGACTGAGAGTCATTCTCTCTGTGACTTGTACTTCGTCTAGGTAGAAACAAAGATTGTATCAACTTAGCACGAATTTAAGCACAAGAAATAAATAAATACTGCTACATACCACTTTGCACATAAACATTACATCCAATAATCCACAACTGTGCATACAGAGATACTCATGGAGGTGCTCCATCAAACAGACCATTAAAGCATCAAATACAAACACCTTTCAAGAAGACATGATCTTCAGTCCCTAAAATCTACACCTGTTTTTCTTGCATGATGAACTGGCTATGTAAGTCAATTCCTTCCTAAATACGTTGTATTAAGATAAAAATACAACTCATACATGTTCTGATGAAAATACAGAAATCTAGTGCCAGAAAATGATTCCTCATCTTCTTCTGACCTATGATGATCCTTGAGTTCAAATATCTTCTGGTCAGCTCTGTTTCTTGAGTCTTCACTTTCTTTTCATGAAGAAGAGGATCCCAAAGCAGGAAGAAGCTCTCCTGCCAGAGGTTCTTCCAAATGTTCCCATCTGTGTTCAAGGACCAGAAAAGCAGACAAGATGTGCATCTACCAACAAGATTAATGCCCATGGGAAATAGTCTAAGCATCAAGTGAGAAAATGAGCCAGCATGCACTAATTGTCCAACATCCTCTATTGCCCATGGGAGGGGATCTGTGAAGGGACTAGATGGGCTGAGCCACAACAGACACGGGAAGAAGTGTGCTTAATTTGAGGTCTCTGCATTCCTCTGAGATATTTCATGGAGCAAGTCCTAGGCCTTGTTTTGGATGTAGAGTGATGAGACTGAGTTCAAGGTCATTAAACCCAGCCTGTTAAGAGGACTGTAAGTGCTGTGTCCTTTATTCACTGTGTATCCTTAAGCTTAAGTTCTAAGCTAATTAATAACAAAAATGGAAAAAATATAAAATTCACATGTAACGTAAAGCACATAGTCAAATTCAGAATTTTCTTAACAGTGTGATAAGGCAAATTCTTAACCATAGTTACACCATATTGAAGTCTAGGCTGAATATAGCCTCTGAAACTAAAAAGCAGTTGGCCCAGTGTATGGGAACAGAGAGGTGGGGCTCATCTGCAAGCATGTCAACAGGCCACTACTTGCCATGAGAACAGGTCAGCATGTCCATGCTCCTGATAACTGTAGATTTATGGCTTCTGTACTACATGCTTGGCTTGATTCTGCAAAGTAGGAATTGTTAGGAGACTTTTCACCCCTAAGCTGTGGAAATGCTTGGAAACTTAAACTTCTCACCCAGATGTAGTTTTTTTATATAAGAGCCTTCCCTAACACAGACAGGGCACTGCACTTGGGTTCTGACATCCTTGTACAGTCGTTGGCCAGCTAATAAAAGACTTTCATTTGACAAAACTTCGCCTGAGTGGTCTTCTCTGGTGAAGCACTTCACAACAACAGTAATGCTAGCACGTAAATCAGATGTATCTTTAATGAAAGTGCTAGAAAGCAAAACTATTAAGTGATGGCAAATACTTGGCAGAACAGTTGTCCAGTTTTCTATCCTCGCCAAAAAAACACAGTTAGTGACTGACTAACCACACACAAGAATGGCCCAATAAGCATTCTAGAAATTGAGAGTAAAGTTAAAATATCAACTGCATCACAAAAGTGGAAAAGCCAGGATAAAAGAGAAGAATGGATCCTTGTGGTTGCATGGCTTCTTTCCCAAGTCAGCACAGAGTCACAGAGAATTCCTCTGGACTGCTGGATTCTACAGTTGCCACAGTGAACTGAAGACAGGCATCTCATTTTTCCTCCATTCTTGGACCCTTTGCTGGAGATTTGCCCTATCTCATTCATGAGTAGTTTAGAGAGAGATCACCTGGGATTGTGTAGAAAAAAAAAGGAGATGAAGCTATGTGTAAAAAGTACATAGATTACATAGTTA